GTTTATATTAAAAAGACAAATGTTTAATAAACATTTCATATACATTTGTAAAAACACTACTACTCAAAATGTCTATAGTTTCTTTGAGGTAGGAACAGGACACTTCAGTAGAAAACAAGATATTTTGACAAATAGTATACATATTTACTAAAATATTAAATACTTCAACTAAAACTTTCAGTTTATTGATCTATAGTTGCAGACAAATTTTTCTAAGTGTATTGAATACTGCCATTTCTATTAATTCTGAGATTATAGTTATAAACATTTTAGTGCAAAGGATTTCCAGTAAAGTAAAACTGGATTTAATAGTTAATTTGATGTGTAGAAATGACTAGGCCACAATGCCAAGTTATTTGATCAACAGAAATTTAGATATTGCTATTTTTAAAAATTACTTAATTAATAATTAAATCAGGTGACCTAAGTAAAACAATGTGTCATAAATTGAGTGTTTCCAGAAGACCTTAGAAGCAAACAAAGAAGTTTCCCAAAGAAGACAAATTCTGCTTCAAGACTTTATGTAAGCATTCTGAGAGAATTTCCAGTTGATCGCCTGTCTTACCACCAAGATTCTCGTATTACAGCATTTGCTACCCTCATAGAATCAGCAGGTGTATTAACATGATGGAAAAAGAAATCTCAGTTCAATGTTCCTAGCCTTTTTCTCAATAATATAGCTTTTAGTTTTCTTAAAATGTCTTCTTAATAAGTCCCCTTGATCATCCTATGTCCTTGGAAAAATTTCATCAAGATTACTCCTTTGAAATTCCAAGAAATAGTCTTTGTAACCTTCTAAGCTGACCACTCTGCCTTGAAGTTAACTTGCTCAGAAAATCTCCTTAGACGCCTCTATTTATTGGGCATTTTTTTTCATCTTCTTATAAGGTTATCTTAATGAAACTAAGATAACTGTATTATTTGGAGAATTTCTCTGCAGCCAACCACTGATTACAGAGAAAGCACAAGTTTTACAAATAAATTCACATGTATACAAAGGAGCAATAGTTGGTGACTTGCCATCAGATATCAATCCAAAACTTATCTGTCAGCTTGTGGTGGCTTGAGTTGTTGCTGAGATGCAAGAAACATAGCTACCGGTATTTTACATACTTGCAGCATCATCATTGGTGGACAGATTGTAGCTGAGCTTCCATATTGATACAGGCTAAGAATAAGGAATGTTTAGTCATGTTTTCATTATTAACTAAAAAGAGGAAAACACTTCAAACATCCATTAATAATCACAACATGGAACATATCATGTATGAATCTAGGAATGTTGAAAGCCATCAAAAATGGAATTGAACAAATAAGTGAGATGAAATGGACTGGTGTTGGCCATTTTCAAACTGACAATTGCTTGGCTTACTATGCCTAGAATGACATATTTAAGAAGAATGGCATCACATGGATCATCAGAAAGATCATTTGAAGACCTATCTTGGAAGTATAATGAAGGCTGTGATTGGATAATACCCAAGCATCTAAAAAGACTATCTACTAATACAACTATTATTCAAATTTACCCACCAACCATGAAAGTCAGAGACAATGAACTTGAAAAATTCTACCAACTTCTTCAGTCTGAAACTGGTCATATATGCAATCAAAATGAAATTGTAATTACTGGAGATTGTGATGCAAAAGTTGGAAACAAACTGGAAGATTTGGTCATTAGAAAATATGGCCTTAGTAATAGAAATGAAGTCCTGGTGTGGCACTGTGGGTTAATGTGGTGGACTTCAAAGTCAGTCTGAAATTCAAGGTCGGCAGTTCAAATTCACCAGCCACTCCTCAGAAACACAATACAGGGTTGTTATGGGTTGGAACTGACTCAATGACACTTAAAACAACAATAAGTAATAGAAATGATGATGGAGATGGCATGATAGAATTTTGCAAGACCAATGCCATGGGCTGCCAAAAGAACCAACAGATCTGTATTGGAAAAAGTGCAGCCAGAGTGCTCCTTGGAGGCCAGGATGGTCAAACATTTTGTTAGAAGAGAGCAGTCTCTGGAGAAGGATATCATATTTGGTAAGGTGGCAGGTCAGAGAAAAAGAGGAAGGCCCCCAGCGACATGGATTGGCAAAGTGGCAGCATCAAGGGGCTCAAGCGTGGCAATGATAGTGAGGTTGATCCAGGATAGGGCAATGTTTCATTCTACTGTGCATAAGTTCGCTAGGAGTCAGTACCAACTCAATGGAAACTAACAACAACTACAATGACTTATTCATTGCAAAACCATTTTTAGAGAACATAAGAGGCAACATACACAGGAGCCTCATCAGATGAAATACAAAGAAGTAAAACTGAATATATCTGTGGAAATAGATGATAGAAAAACTCCTAATTATCAGCAAAAACAAGGTCAGAGGTAGATTGTAGAACAGACCATGAACTTCTCATATGCAATTTCAGACTGAACCTGAAGAAAATATAAGTTCACAAGAGCCAAAATATGACCCTGAACACATGCCATCTGAATTTAGAGATCATGTCAAGAACAGATTTGGTGCATTAGAAACTAGTGACTGAATACCAGAAGAGATGTTGGATAACATCAACAACATCATAAAGGAAGACAGCAAAAGGTCATGAAGAAAATAAGATAGAAGGAAAAAATGTAAATGGAAGTCATAACGCACTCTGAAATTTGCTCTCCAAAACAGAGATGTTAAAAGCAAATGGAAGAAAGGAGGTGCTAAAAGAATTGAAAAATAAATTCCAAAGGGCAGTTTGAGAAGACAGAGTCAAATAATATAACAACATGTTCAAAGACCTTGAGTTAGAAGAACAAAAGAGAAGAGTATGCTCAGCATTTTTCAAGCTGAAAGAAAAGAAGATAAAAGCAAGCCTCAAGTTGCTTTACTGAAGGATTATATGTTGCAAAAATCATCAAAAGAAGATGGAAAGGGTGAACTAAGCCCTACAATGTTCAATAGGTCTCTGTGAACCCGGGTGGTGACCTGGTTGGCCAGCAGTGTGGGAAGACATAGGGGA